TGGCCACCTTCTCCTTGGATAAGTATCAACAAATGACAGCAGACAAACATGAGTGGAGTGAAACTGAGCGGCAGAAGATTGAGCAGAAAAAGGGGGAGGCTCTGCGTGATGGATTTGCATACAGGATGTGAGCGATAGAGTAGTGAGTGGGAGGAGGGGGCCCTGTAGCATGGTCTTGGCATGGAGGCTCTAAGAGGTGGAAGAGGGAGAAGGAGAAGGGGAGACCCCTTTGGTGTGGTTCTTGCATGGTGGGACTGAGCAGGGTGTGGATGAGTGGGAGGATGGGGAGGCCCTGCGGGGTTGTCTTCACATGTAGACGGTCAGCTTGGGGCAGACCGATGCATAGATGATGGCCTGGATTGTGGAATGATGAACATACAGGGTAAGTTCACACAAGGATGATGAGAGTTCTTGCTGGGGTAGGGGCTCCTGGTCAGGGAAAAGGTGAGAGGGTTTTCAGCCTAAGATTGGTTTGGCTAAGTTCACACAAAGATGATGGGATACCTTGCTGGGGTAGGGGCTCCTGGTCAGGGGAGAGGTGAGAGGCTATTCAGCAGACTTCCTCATGCTGCTCCCTTCCAGCCTACAGGGAAACAAGGACAAGCACTCTCTAGCTATCCATGGGCTAGATCTGGAAGGACATTCTTCACTCTTCTCAAGTGCCCCTGGCTGGGCTTCAGGGGTCTGCCTGGTGCCTCTAGGAGGGACACAGTGTGTACATGTGCCCAGCAAGGGGCAACAGTGGGCAAAAGGTTGACTGAGGTAGCCTAGGGTGAAATGGCCATTCCTAGAGTTGTGCTGCTACAATTCCTGAGTCCCCACTACTGCCATCTCTGCCGTGTTCCCTAGAGAACACAGAAGGAGGCTGGCCCGAGAAGGCTATGGGAAGGGGTGCTCAGCCAGGTGCCCTGGGCTGAGTTCTCAGTGTGGTTGGGTGTCATAGGGCAGCACACAGTCCTGGAGGAGGATTTCCCTAAATGGGAGGCTGACTAGGTTTCCAGCAGTGCCACTGGCAGCCTCTGACAGAGCCTACAGCCTCCCTCACCCAGAGGCCTTGGAGCTGGGGCAGGGGAGACACTCACAATAGATTCCCCAAGTAGGCACCAGGGTAACCCCTCTGGTGTCCTGACACGAAGAGGAAAACAGTTTCAGATACTACACAATCTAGAAGGCTGGTAATGTAAGGTTATTTGCATAACATTTCCTTAATTTAAGGATTTTATTGTTAGTTTATTATGAGTAGAGATTTATATCTTTTTTTAAATTTCTCTTTATTAGTATGTATCCCTAAAATTTATCCAACAATATATACCATAAAAGTACATAGATATCTTAGTTCCTAAATCATACATACATATATATATTTACTCACGTAATTATACATTCATATCCACATATACACATGCTATGACCAAAACAAAGAACCAAAATATAACTATAACAAAGCAAAAAATAAAAACAAAGAAGCCAATCTACTACTATATGAATATTGTAAGATTTTTTAAATTAGCAATCATTCTAAATATTTCATAGCATTGTTTAGATTATATAAGGACTGAATAGTATGTATAAGGATTCTATAAGGTTCTATAAAGTTCTATAAATTTAATATGTTTGCTTTTCAAAATAAGCGCTTAAACTCACTGAGACAGCCCCGAAGCTGCTCTGCGGAGTTGGCTCCCGCCGCCAGAGGGCAGCAGCGCGCGGGCGGGCAGAGGTGCGGCCGTACCCGGGCTAAACCCGGGAAGGGGGCTTTTTTAGGTCTGCGCACCTGCAGGAAGACTGCCCCAGCTCATCTGCGGCATTACTGGGTCAGAAAAGGGCACTAAGGTGTCATCTTAAATCCAAGGGGAAAAAAATTAAATCCAGGAGTCCAGTTCATCTTTCAAAATAAGGCAGAAAAACGAGATTTTCTTGAAACATCAACACTAATTCCAAGCATATTTCTGGGCGTGCTTGGAGGGATCCATCTGGGAGGAAGTAGCTCCTGGGGTACGGGGAGATGGGATGGCAGAGGCAGCCGGGTGCAGGGCATGCCGGGCAGCCAAACCTGCCTTCAGGTAGCCTCTATCCCCCAGATCCTCTAAGAAGCTTACCCCACCCCCCTCCAGGTGAGCAGCCTGGGTGTGGGGGTCCTGCCTCACTCAAGTGTTTTTCTCAGTGCTCCCCCCTCTTACACAATATTAGGGTTACTCTGTGATTACTGTGTGGACGCAGGACATCTCCCAGACTTTATCCCCTAGTTCTAATCGCAAGGCTAATTTAAGGCCAGTAGGCTGGGAGCAGAGTGATTTACACAGCATTCAGGTTTTGCCTTTAGGAGGAAAAGACTGTTTCCCCTTTCCATGTGCTAGAATGGATACGGAATGGAGGGAGCAGCTCAGGTGAACTCTGCAGCTGTGCCTGGGTGAGGGCTGTGCTCATCCCTGGGCACAAAGACATTGGGCACCTGACTTCTGGTAGAGTGGCGAAGGAAAGTAGAATCCGCCAGAGTCCTGCCCCCCGTGGACGTGCAGACTCAGTCAGGATGCATGGACACCGCTGCCCTTCATGGTGTCACAAGCCGGCACAGGATGCTCTAGGGATTGGACTAGGATGGCAGACATCCCCACAGGCTGAGAGCACCCTTTCCATATAGAGGACTGGGCAGGGCCGTCTCACCTGCTCTCTACTGCCATAACCGTGGCCACCATTCTAAGGTCCCTGAAAGGAGAGGGACATCTCCACACTGAACATGGAAACAACCCAGGGTTGGGGAAATGCTGGCCCTGCAGGAGACATAGAGGGAAGAGAGGCAAGGAGTCCAGGAGCCCCCCATCTCCAGACAGGGTCAGGAAGGAGCTGACCCCGCAAGTCTGAGCTTGGAGAATCTCAGAGAAGGCAGTGGGAGTCAGGCTCCATGACTGTGAGCTTGAAGAGATCTCAGGAGGGACCACACCATCCTTTGTCACCTTTCTTTGGGGTGCGTGCCTCTAAGAAACTGAATGGGATGAATACTTGGAATGCAATCTATAAGAGAGGAGGAGACTATGCAGAAATGAATTCTTACAGGCTTAAAACTAACTTTTATATGCAAAGTTGCTCTGTCTGCAGAAAATCATCTGCACAGGCTGAACTGTGTGCCCCAAATTCTCACATTAACACCCATCCCTGCATGTCTCAGGAAGTATGACATTGAACATAGGGTCCCAAAGATGTGCTAAGGTAGCGATTCCTTTAGTGAGGCCCAGTGTGACTGGTGTCCTTATAAGAAGTCATGCTGGCAGAGAAAAAGCCTTGTGGAGACTCAGAGAGGAGAAAAACCTCAGGACACCTTGACCTGCTGGTTTAAGAAGTACAGTGTGTGGTACATTTAAGAAATATACTTATCCATTATAGCTGCAATGATTGAAGATGATTGCTTAAAGAAGCCATTTGTCTGGAAGTCTCATTCACACAGAAGAGCTTATTCCCAGTCATGCCAAACAAGCAAGGCATTTCTGTGCCTGCTTTAGACATCAGCCGCATCTTTACAGATCCTGTTGTCAGGTAGTGTCTACACTCCTCTGCTTTAATTTATGGAACTGAACACTAACAGATTTGAAGACATATGTCACCCCAAATACCACACTGTCTGGGCAGTAGGCTCCTTGGGCTAAACATTGAAGCTGGAAGATAAAACCTGCTTCACATAAGCACAGTTTTATTTTGCAAAGCCAACACAATGCTTAAAACTACAGATTTTGTATCTTAAGACATCATTCTGCATTTTATAGAGACAGTTATAGCTTACGAGAACCATATAAAGTTTCCAGTACCACATTTGTCAGAATTAAACGTGCCCGTATTTTTCCAATTCATGTCAGTACTTTCCTAATGTATGTTTGTATTTTTGTAATGCAGTTGATATTTTCCACTGATATTCATATATTTATGTAGTATTTTAAAAACTAGAGTTCTATGAGCTTCCAAAGTTGATGAAAATTGTTCATTTGGATTCCATCGCTAACCTCTGACTTTGGGTAAAACTATGTGAAATCTATCTTGGAGGCTGATAGACTTAAAGCTGTATGGTAGCTAATCGGAATGAGCTCTATGTAAACAGAATCAACAGCCATGAGTTCTTCTTCAAGCCCAGCATGGAAACAGAAGAAAAGTTCTTTCTACATTGTCTCAGTAAAGTTTCCTTCTGCTTTTTAATAAAACAATTATTCTATTTATTAGAAAAACATGCAGCACTTCAAATTGCATAATAAGCTCCAAATTCATTACGATGCATTGAGCAAACTTCTACTAAGCCCCTTTGGTGTGCTGAAAACTGCCAAGGTCGGAAGCACAGCTATGACCATGCGGCAGAGCCTGTTTTCAAGGAGCCCTGCCTCAGGGGCATTTAGAGGAGACTCTATTCATAGGGGAGCAAGTCAGCCTGAGCTGCCCTGGTCTTGGGGACACTTGTCACTGACATGTTCCCCACATTGCTTTCCAATTGGAGGACACTGGAGCTTCTCTGTCTTCTGCCTTCTGACAACCTGGTCCTTGCTGAGTGTATCAAAAGGAAGTGAGATGAAAAATATTGCTGCTTACAATTAGCAGCTGTAAACACTTTGAGAGCAAAATGTTTAAATGTTTGCCTACAATGATTTACAGGAGGGTTTCTGGGTTTTCTTTTTTAACTATGTCATCATTTGGTGCTAGGAAATTTTGTGGTCTATGACTGCATCACAAATATTTCTTTAAAAACTTACATACAGGACCAGGAATTTAGCTCAGTGGCACCATGGCTGCCTCAAAAATGCAAGATCCTGAGTTCGATCCCCAGTACAAAAAAAAAAAAAATTTACATACATAAACAATTCACTTTAATTTAGCATTTCCCATGACCTGTTTTGTGGAAAGGCAGCCCTGTGAGGCTCTAGAACCATAAGTGTTTCTTCTCAAGCACATTTAAGGAAAGCTGCTTGCAGAGCCCACCCACCTCCCACCTCCCATCACCACCCCATGAAGAGAATTTCACAGCTGGGGCACAGGAAGTCCCTGATCTATAAGAGAGACACATCTTAATTTTGCCTAATTTCCACATTTACCGTGCATATTTGGCCATGGAGAGGGGTGTATGTGTATATGTGTCTTATTCTTTAATTAGCAAGTTTCACAAAGGCTCTAAGGGCATTTGACTTGCACGTCCTTATCACATAGTGAAAGATGATGCATTGTCATTGTCCATGATCTCACTAGTCTGCCTGGAAACGAAGGCTTCTGAGTTCACCCTGGCACAGGGGAAGCCTAGTGCCTTGTGCTTTCTTCTCACACACCACATGTCCTTCATGATCTTCAGGAAGTAGCTTCTAAACCTCTGACCAATAAATGCGTAGAGCACGGGGTTGAGGCAGCAGTGGAGGAAGGCCAGGACTTCCGTGACATTTTTGGTGTATCCCATGAGCTTTTCATTGCTGCAGGTTCGGTTCATTCTGCCCAGGTTTGCAGCAGTCACGAGAAGAACTATGTTATGAGGAATCTGGCAAGCCAAGAAAACAAGGACCACTGCTATCACCACACGGATGGCTCTGTGCCTCTTAGAATTCTGAGCCTGCACTAAGGTCTTGACAATGAACATGTAGCAGAATACCATAAACACCAGCGGGATAAAGAATCCAAACAGCAGCTGCAGTCCCAGCCCCAGTAGCTTCCACATGATAGGGTCTAATTTGGGGTCGTACCTGGGCTCACAGACATCTCTGCCTTGCATATTATATTTCTGGTTGAAGGCAAATGTTGGGCCGGAGATGATCAGTGACAACACCCACACAGCAAGGCAGATTATTCTGTTGTGGGCCAGAATTCTGGACCGGAACCAGAAAGATTTGGTTGCCTGTACAATGGCAATGTACCGGTCCATGCTGATACAGGCCAAGAGCAGCATGCCACAGTTGAAGTTGATGGCGTAGATACCTTTCATCAGTTTGCACACAGCATTGCTGAAAGTCCACTTACCAGTGGCGTGAGTCACTGCCCAGAATGGCAGAGTAAGGACAAAAAGTATATCTGCAATGGCCATGTTCAAGAGATAAACATCCGTCATAGACTTGGCCTTTTTATAAAAGGCAAAGGTGGTCACTACAAGAATATTACCCAGAAGGCCAAAGATACAGATCAAGGAGTATGCAATTGGCACAAATATCCTGGAGAATTGTCTGACCTCTTGCAGAGAGCACAGTAAGACACCCTCCTCAGATGGGTAAGACATAGCACTACCTGGCTCAGAGTAATCACTTATTAAATAGTCACTATCGGTGGAATTCACTGGTTCCTGGGAAGTAAACAAAGATGGAGTTAGCTGTAATGCACTATTCAAGTAGCCACCATTAACTGAAATTATACTTCCTGCAAGAAATAAAATAGTCTCACCTCACCCATGATGATACTTGCACTGGGCTGAAGATGCAGGCCTGACAGAGAAGGGTGTGGATGGTCCCACTGTGCTGGCTCACCAGCAGCTGTGACAGGAGAGCAGGGATGAAGCTAGGGAAGAAAGAGGCAAATGCACTGTGATTAGGACAGCCAGGGAAGTGAGCTACACCACTCTATCCAGGTGGAGCCCAGTGTACAGTCCATCCTGTTACATAACATCACCCATGTAGGACAGGCTCCAGCAGCCTCTTCTGCAAAGGCCCAGACAGCAAATACTGTAGGTTGTGCAGGCCTATGGTGTCTGTCACAACAGCTTTAATCTGCTGTGGTAGCTTGAAGCGCATATACACGATGCATGAATGAATGGGCCTGACCATATGTGGTTGGCCACGGGCTGATGTTTCACCAATCCCTGACCTATGGCTTAAAAGAAGGATCATATCAGAAAAACCACAGGTTTTTTGACCTATGAAAAAAATCTCGTGGAAAACTCAATTTAATTACATGAAAAGAAGTGCTACTGAACAAAATCTAGAGAACTATGAATGTGTATAGGAATTAAGATTTATAGTCCTGGACAAAGCTCAGTGATTTTTCACCCTGGTGGCATGGGTGATCTCAGGTGAGTTGCCTAAGGTTGGAGTGTAAGGCTTTGTCAAGATGCACTAAGTCCTTTGGCCTGGGACTGAGTGGACAGTTGTGGGATGCTTCCTAACAGGCCAAACTGTTCCAGTAAGTTCTGATCTGTTGGGGAATGTGCAATGCCACTGTCAGAGGCCCTGATGCAGGAAAAGAGGCTGATGCTTGTTGATAGGAAAGCTCAGGGGAGGAAGAGGTGCTTCTCTGGTCCCTGAAGGATAGATGCCTGTGAGCAAATGATCTCCCAGTGATGACACCTAACACAGCCCAGGCAGAAGACCCCAGGTCATGAACAAGGAGTGTTTGTGAGACAAGAGAGGCGCCAGATTGGAGGAACCAACTGGATGGTTATCCAGTCTTTACACAGTATGTAACATGGTGAGGATGCCAACAGGTAGCCATGTAAGGGGCAGAGCTGCAGCATGAAAAGGACCTGAATGTGAAGGATTTTGAAATCTACCATTCCCTTTATTTTTATTAGTACATCTTTGTGGTATATAATGATTGCATTCATCATGGGGAGTTGGTACATGTACATAACACATGTTAATTCCTTTTTAATGCCCTTTTCCTTCTCTCCCTTCCCCCTCCCTCCATCTCGTGGTCCCTTTCCCTTTTCTGGGAAAGAAAGAAAGAAAGAGAGAGAGAGAGAGAGAGAGAGACAGACAGAGAGAGAAAGGAAGGAAGGAAAGAGAGAAAGAAAGAAAGAAAAAAAAAGAAAGAAAGAAAGAAAGAAAGAAAGAAAGAAAGAAAGAAAGAAAGAAAGAAAGAAAGAAAGAAAGAGAAAGAAAGAAAGAGAGAGAAAGAAAAAGAGAACCATTCTCAGTAAAGTCAAACAAGATGAAAGATCTCTTTGGTACTCTGACTCCCTCTTCTGCTTTTGCTGTTTATCATCCTGCTTGCCCCTCCACCCAATAAGATCCATCATCTGTAACTCTTGACTACTGTGTTAAGCTGCTGTCCAATCACTCAGGAGGTCTCTCTCTTTCTGTGGGCACTTGATGAGATTAGAGGGAGTGAGAGCAGAAGCAGCATCAAACAGAGGTGGGGAGCTGCAGTACCACCACACTGCGCCCCACCAGTCCTGTACCCACACTCAGGGAGGAAGTCACCACAGCACAGGCTCACCCTGAGTGACATTCTGAACACATTTCTTGTAGATGCTGTTTCTTATCTTGGGTTTACCAACCCCATTTCTTCCTGGATACCTGGAGTCACACCTTGGAGACTGAGTCTTTGCTGCCTTTTCACCACTGGCTTGGACATGACTGGAGGAAGGTGTGGAGTCACCTCAGCACTTTGCAGGTGGCTGCAGGTGGCAGTTTTGAGTGCCTTAGAGCATGCAGAAGCAGAGCACAGAAGAGGCATTCACATCGGTGAGATTATCAGATTAAACATGGCATTGAAGCACAACTGCGATCACACAGCATCCAGGCACTGTGGACCAGCGGGGCCCCACTGCACCCCACTGCATCACACCAGTCGAGATGCAATGCCAGCTCTCAGGTCTCAGGTGATAGGCATCTCAGGTGTGGAGAACAAGTGACGTGAGAGATGTTGATCTCTTCAGTCCCCATCACACTGCAGACTGGGCTGGGGGACCCCAAAAAGGATGCATGAGGCCTCACTGAGACAAGGAGAGGAAGGAGATACATGCAAGAAGTTAGGAGAACAGCAGAACCTTTTCCACAAGAGGAAGTGAATCTAGGCTGGAGGAAGAACTGCCAGAAAGAAGTGGGCAGAAGTCCCAGCTCACCAGGCTGTGGCAGCTCTCGCCCTGCAGCATGGTTATCAGTCCTTCTAACTTACAAGGTGTGGGACAGCACCCTCAGAAGGTGCAACTTAGGAGTGTGGGCTGACACAGTTCTACCTCAAATGTGCTCTGAGTAGAGCAGAAGCTTTTAAGAAAATCTCAAAGGACTCCTCTGATTCCAGGAATATAACTGTGTTCCCCAACAAGCCCAAAATTATTTAAAGAAATAGATTTATATAAGTGAAATTTATATAAATTTAAAATTCATAATATTAGGCAACCAGGTCAGTGTGGTAGTACGTATCTATAATCCCAGCACTTAGGAGGCTGAAACAGTGTTTTCCCAAGTTTGAGGCCAGCCTGAACTATATAGAGTGACCCATATAGTGTCTCAAAAAACAAAAATACTTTTCAAAAAAAAAATAAATTGAGCAACCAGAAATTTCTGAACATTTATAGAAATAGGAAACGATAACCCACATCTGCATGAAAAAACAAAAAAATGACAGAGATAATAAAATTAACAGAAAAAGATATTCGAACAGCCACTATAAGTACACTGCACATATTTAAAAATTTTGAGAAAAGCATAAACACGCTGAGAAAAGTAATGAAAGATATAAAAAGACCCAAGTAAAGCTTCTATAGAAAAAACAATGAATAATATGTAAAATGAGAAAGGCACTGATTGGGATTAAAATCTGATTAGACACTGTAATTTGCATAAATTGATTGTAAGTCTATTCTCTAGCAACAACATTTGCAAATTTAGGCTAAAATATATAGAGATGATAATGATGATGATGGATAAGCATCAAAACACATGCAATGAAATACTTATGGATATATCCAAGAAAATTTAAATAAGATTGATGTGCTGAAAACTATAAAAATTTGTTGAGAGAAATTAAGACTTAAATTTAGGGAGAGAGGTACAATGTTAAGGGTTAAATTATTCGATATTCAGATGTTAGTTCTCCCCAAATTGATCTATACATACAAGATAAAGAAAATCAAAATTATAGCAGTTTTTTATATAGAAGTTGACAAATTAATTCTAAAATTTACATAGAAATTCAAGGGATTTCAGATAGCTAAAGAAATTTTGAAAAAGATACCCAGTTGGAGGCCTCACACAGCCTGACTTCTTGATGTGTAAGGGAAGCTCCATGGCTCTCTGATGTGGTCCTGGTGAAGGGGAGGGTGGACACAGCACTGGAGGACGGAGGGCAGGAACAGACCCACACGCTAAGGTCGACTGGTTTTAACTATGGTGCCAAGGTGAGTCAGTAGAGGAGGAATGCTCTTTTCAAAAATTGGTGCTGGAACAACAGGATTTTCATATACAAAAGGTTGATCCTTGACCTGTGCCTCACACCATATGTAAAAATTAACTCAAATAGATTATAGCTCTAAATGTAAAAGTCAAAAATAAAATATCTAGAAGAAAACAGGAGAAAAATCTTTGTAACTCAGGAATAAAGAATCCTCATACAAATAGTAAAAAAAAAAAATAATTGTTTAAAAAATGATAAATTATGCTTGATCAGAATTTAAAATTTCTGCTCTTTGAAAGACTGTAGGGAACAGGGAAAGGGGAGGTTACTAGAACCTCCGGAGTAAGTCCTAGTCTCCTGCAAGCCACAGCAGCACATGACGAATTAATTTATTAGAAAAGATAGAAAAAATGAGACTTAGCGAAGACGAACTTTGAGCCTGGTCAGTGCTGCTCTGGGCCACAAAGAGGAAAGGCCCGAGCTTGCCACACCTTTATTCAGTACCTCAGGAGAAACAAATGTAACACATGACTCAGGACAGAGAGTTCAGTACATTGGCTGAAACAAGTATAACATTTGACTTAGAGGGTACCAACTGGCAAAAATTCTAAAACAGTGAGGAACTATGCAGATGAAGATTTTGTTCCACGATGTCTTCAGCTGGTGTAATCTTGCCCTGGAACATCACAGCATCACCGCAGGGGACCATTGAGGTTTTAGTTATGGCTCCACATGCCATAGCTGCCCTGGAAAACTAGGCCCTAATCATGATTTAATTGTGAAATGATTTTCCCCAAGATTATGTAGAATTGCTCTTGACAAAAGACACTTGAGAAAATAGGAAAAAAACCAACCATAGAATTGGAAAATAATACTTGTAATCTCAAATAGATGTTAGTAGGTTGTATCCAAATGTGAAAATAATTCTTAATATCTAAAAAATAAACACCTCCATTAAGAAATAGAAAAAAATCTAAATAGAAAGTTCATCAAAGAAAATATATAGATAAAAATACACACAAAAAAGATGTTCAACATCATTAAGCATTAGAGAAATGCAAATTAAAATGGATATGAGATACCATTTCACACCCAAGAGCTGCTAAAATTAGAAAGGTAGGCAAGAAATGTAAATCAAGATGTAAAGCAATCTTAGCTCTCCTGTTTTGGTGGCGGGAATGAGGAAACACCACCACTTCGAGAAAAGTGTAGGTTCCTTATAAAGTGAGACATCTACTTACCACAGCAACCACAAACTGACTCCTACATATTTACCCAAGAAAAATGAAAAAAAAAATGTACTTGAACATCCGCAGCACTCATTCTCCCATTCCAATCAGGAATAAGAATGGATTTAAGGAAATCAAGGCACTGCCTTCTGAACAGGACATGACAGGGGCAGCACTTCTCCCATCTCTACCAGCAATCCCCTCCTGGCCTGG